CGTGAGGGAAGATTGGGGCGGCAGCTGTGCTCGCACCCAGTGATGGCACCAAGTCATCAGCGCCGGCAGCAGATGCGAGTGCTGGGCAGGACCATGGCACGTGGGAACAAAGAATTTTCAGTAACCACCAGAGGCTCACCCTGATGACAGCGACTGGCACCTTGCTTTGGTCTGGCGCCCCCACTCACCTGCAGCCGATGCCCACCATATTCCACGCTCTGCTGCCTGCTGCCAAAGCCCGCCAATGTCTGCGCCCGCCCCCTGGTGGTCAGCGCATGTCATTGCGCTGCTCTATCCACTGAGCCAAACTGGCTAGGGCTTGATTCTACTAAATTTATTTCACAAATGACGTTGTGGGGAAGAGGTCCTCTCTATTTGTAACCAGTGTGTGTGCTTTGTTTTTGGAAATTTTTAAGTTACAAAATTTTAATTAAGCTTTATTTTTATATTTGTTTTTTTTCAATACAGGTAGATGAGGGGAAAAAGAGTGATGATGGCTTTAATTATTTCCCTCTCTGAATAATTGAGAGGCAATTTAAGGGGCTCTAGGTAGGACCTCTTGCTAAACATACCTCTACCTATTATCTAATAGTCAATGTTAAATGCTTAAAGTCCTTTGGCTTTCAAAAGTGATGACAACGAAAATACCTCTGAGAGAGGCAGCACACTAATTCCTATCAGTCATTTTCACAATAGTGTGATTTTAGAACAGCCGTGGGCAAACTACGGCCCGCGGGCCGGATCCAGCCCGTTTGAAATGAATAAAACTAAAAAAAAAAAAAAAAACCGTACCTTTTTATGTAATGATGTTTACTTTGAATTTATATTAGTTCACACAAACACTCCATCCATGCTTTTGTTCCGGCCCTCCGGTCCAGTTTAAGAACCCATTGTGGCCCTCGAGTCAAAAAGTTTGCCCACCCCTGGTTTAGAAACATCATTTCTGGAAGCAGGCTTTTATATAAAAGTAAGGACCTTGGTTAGGGAAAAGGAGCCAGTGGGGTATCATAAACACTCCAAAGACAGAGAAACAGCGATCAGACTATCAATCCCCAGAGGGAAAGTAGGGGAGGGAGGGGGTAAGGGGAAGAAATCAACCAAAGGACATGTATGCATACATATAAGCCAAACCAATGGACATGGACAACAGGGGGATGAGAGCATGGGTGGGGGGGGGGGGAGAATGGGGGTTTAATGGAGGGGATGAGGGCACATTTATAATACCTTAACTAATAAAGAATTTTAAAAAAATTTAAATCTTAAAAAAATAAATAAACACTGTCCCATTTTCCTAAGCTCCAACCTTCTTACACAGTTCAAATGCCACATTCAGGTTTATAAGTCCTTGTGCTTTCCTCTTATTCATTTTTATGTTTTAGGCAGTAGCAGAGAAAAGGGAGAAAGAGGAAGGAAATGAGGGAGACACTGAGTGGCTGCAAATATGACAACACTGGAAGCCCCTCTGAATGCCAAGTTAGTGGAGCCTCAACAAGACCAGTTCATGTTCCCTTTCTGTGCCTTTCTCTCTGCCTGTTTTCTACCAGGAAATACTAGGAGGGGGAATGAAGGAATTTGATCTATATTAAAACGCACAGCTGTTGAACACTAATCCTAAAAACATTCACAACCACTTTGATTTGAGACAAATGATCAGCCAGTTTGTTACAAATGAAAGATATATTCAGAAGTTCCAGACAGGGGTGTCTCAAAGAGCAGACGACAGTTAATTTGTCTCTGAGCCAATGTCGTACTCTGTACCTCAGCAATTTGAGAGATGGGGATCTCCTCAGACAGTCTTTTTAATTCGTTTTCTCTTAAGGAACAAGAATGAAAGGAAGTTAAGGAGTATCCCCTTTCACTGCTGCAGTGCTGTGGGAACAGCCAGGACCTCCCCAGAAACCAGCCCTACAATTACCAGGCTCTATTTCCATGTGAAAGTGAAGACAACAAGGCAGGGAATGGAGTGTGAGGGGATGGACAGACTGCAGTGCAGAGCACCTGATGGAGCAGAGTGGATCAGGCAGCATTTGTGAAGGGGTCACTTAGATCTAAGAGTGTAATCTGGGTAGGAGCAGGGGACAGGACAGGGACAAAATGTCCTGTGTCTTTCCCATCAGCCAACCCTACCTTGGCCAATGTACACACATCTCCTAATTTGATGGCTCAAGGTCACACAGCTAGTAGGTGGGGGAGCTGGAACTGAAACACAGGGTGTGACTTCAAAGCTCTTCACCCTCTACTACATCAGAGTGCTGTGTAAGGGAGCTGCAAGAGCAACTGGAAGTTGTTTTGTGTTGTTTTTCCTCTCTAAAGAAGGAAACAAAAAGCTTGTTGAATACTCCTGAAAAAGAATAAGAGCTTTATTTAACAATATATTGATATCTCCTCCATAGCAGACACTGTGAGGGGAAAAAAGGATGTAGTAAGACAAAGAGAGTAAGACAAAGAGAGGGAGGCAGACAAGTACATTTCTAACAGTAAGAACAGTGACTGACTTTCCAGATCCCTAAAGATCTAAGACACATGGTCATGTAACAGTATTGAACCTCAAGGCTTCTAATAGAGGTGTGAAGAGAGCATGAAGAAGAGAATATTTGCAAATGTGTGTATGGCAGGGGTGGGGGCGTTGAAGTATGTTATAAATGAAGAAAATACAGCTCCATGGTGTTTCATGACTGCCTAAGACAGAGGTTGTAGGTGAAATGGTTGGGATTTTATTCCAATTTATTTGACTCAAAGGCCCATAGTCTTTCCATGTTCCACAGAGATGGGAGCAAGCTTTAGAAACAAGCTCTCACTCTCAGGCAAGACTAGAAGAAACATATCTTTCAGCCTCTGCTCTTCCTTTCTGGAACCTTCTAAGATCCATAGAAGGTTTGTTGGTAAGCTACTTTAATCTTTCTTGAAAAGAAGTGGCATAAAAATATTTAATCATTTATTAAAAGGCAACAAAAAGCCCTTCCTGTTAGCTGAGCTTGGATTTATGAAAAGGCTCTTTAAGGGTTAATCTATTTTATTCCCAACACTACCTCCAGACAGTTTCTTTGGAAAATATGACTGAATTCTAAAAGATTAAATTGTGTGTATAAAGTAGATATTTGAAAATGATTTTTCCAAAAGAGTAGCTCCTTTCTCATTTTCAGTGGGGCTTTATTGGTTCAATTAAACATAATGAATATGAATCACCCTGAGAACTAATATATTTTTACATTCTCTTAATGTAAGTGCCCTAAAGGCTCAATGCTTGCTTTGAGAATGAGTAGAAAACAGGCGCCTAAAGCAGCTCATCGTAAGCCTTATTAGAACCCCAAAGTAGATCTCTGGTCTTATGCAATGTTAACAATGATCATCCATCAAGGTCCCAGTTCTGTAGGTTCTAGTCAGCCATGGGCAAACTACGGCCCGTGGGCCGGATCTGGCCCATTTGAAATGAATAAAACTAAAAAAAAAAAAAAAGACTGTACCCTTTTATGTAATGATGTTTACTTTGAATTTATATTAGTTCACACAAACACTCCATCCATGCTTTTGTTCCGGCCCTCTGGTCCAGTTTAAGAACCCATTGTGGCCCTCGAGTCAAAAAGTTTGCCCACCCCTGTATCTAGCTAAACTTAGGAGGGTAGTCAGTTAGCCACTTGGCAGAACAGGATGACTAAGCAGCTACTATGATATTTCTAAGGCCAACCACTAATAGTTCAGGATGGAAACAGCCAACAGGAGCTTAATGATTTCTTAGATTCAAAAATTGAAAGGCAGACATTAAAGGAAAAATGCTCGACATTATTTTAATTTTTCAGTCTGCCGGTGTATTTGTGCATGTGTGTTCTGTATTTCAACTCTTGTGAGCTCCTTGAAGTTAAATACAAATCTGTTAAACTGTTTTCCTGTCACCCCAATAATGCCCTAGGATGTTTTACTTACTCAATAAATCTATGATGATTAACATGACCTTGCAAATAGCTGTGTAGTATTTTCCTTTTTAATTTAAAACAGTAGCCATATATGTTGTTATTTCCTGATTACCTGGTTTCATGTAATTTACAATTTTGTTACCAGGTGCATATGTATTGAAATTGTGTCTTCTTGATGAATTGGCCCTTTTATCATTATAAAATATCCCTCTTCGTGTATGGTAATATTCCTCATTCTGAAGTGTATTTTCTAATGTTAATATAGCCATTCTTCTCATTTTGTTTCCTTTTAAATTCTTGAGTAGATTTAAAGTCCTTGCCTGCTAATTCCATCATCTGGATTTATTTCTTAGTCTCCTGATCTTGGCTGATATTTCTTACTATGTGCTTCTTCATAGGTCTCATTATTTTTATTGAATGCTGAACCTTGTGTATGTTATGTTGTTGAATATCTGGATTTTATCTCCCTCCAATAAGTGTTAAATTTTTATTTGACAGGCAGTTAAGTTGTTTGATTAGCTTGATCTTCCTGAGGCTTATTTTAAGCTTTGTTAGAATGGATCTAATTTGGCCATATTGCATTTCTAGTCTTCACTTTCCCAGGTGTTTAACAAGGTGCAGTATCTTCATTCTGGCTGGCCATAATTTAAAAGTTAGCTGTGAGACCTAGGAATTGTTCAGCTTAAAACTTCTTTGAAGTTGTTGGTTTCCTGACCTTACCTAGTTTTACTCTTTGAACATATAGCTTAGCATTTAGCTAAAGACTCAAGGGAACTTTTGTATACATTTCTGGGGTTCTATATAGCTCCCTCTTCTCTGGTATCTCCCCTACACTCTCTAGCTGTATCAGTCTCCCCAAACTCTAATCTCTGTCTTCTCAACTCAGTAGGCCTCCATGATCTGTTTGGGTTTCCCCTGGGTACAGTCCCAAACTGTCTCCAGATGAAAAGCTAAAATAATCATAAAGTTCACTGCCCATGTTTCCCTTATGTCAGGGATCACACTCCTTTGCTGCCCGTTTTTAATATTTGAAAAGTTTTACTTCACATATTTTATCAGGTTTTTTGGTGTGCTTTGTTGGTTACTTACAGTGGGAGGTCTAGTTCAGTATCATTTATTCTGTCATGATGATGGGTAGAAACCCTCCTTCATGATCTGTGTCAACCTTGGCTCCAATTCCCCTTTACCCTGGAGACATAGAGAAAGAACAAGAATTTTCCTTTCATTAATCCTTAATCTATCCTTGCTATATGAAGGTATGTATTTGATGCCAGGACTCTGCAAGCAATTTGATCTGAAGTATCTAACCGAACCATGAAAATGATAGGTAAACTTGGATATAATCACCTGTGGAACAGACTGTGTACCCTTAGGAAAGAAAGAGAAGTGAAAAGCAAGAGAATAGAAGAGGAAAAAGAACAAAGGAAAGAGAAGGGGGGGGGGAATCACACACACCAAAAGAGCAGATAAGGAAAAGAACAAGAATTTTACAAATTCGAGAGAAACCAAGATGGCGGCATAGGTAAACACCGGAGATTGCTGCCCCACACAACCACTTCAAAAATACAACTAAAAGACAGAACGGACATCACCCAGAACCACAGGAAGGCTGGTTGAGGGGAAATTCTACAACTAGAAGGAAAGAGAAAAGCATACCGAGACTCAGAGGAGGCGCGGTGCGGAAGTAAAATACAAAGGTGCGGAGGTGCATGTGCAGAGGGATGGCGGCTGAGGGCGCGGTTATCTGTTTCAATCGGGAGGGAGTCTCAGGCTCTGGGCTCCAGTTCCGGGTGAGTGTCTAGGGACCCAGACTCAAATGGGAGAAGCCGGACTGTCTGGCATCAGTCGGAACTCGAGGGCAGCTTTCTCTCCGAGGTACTTGCAGTGGTTGCTGGGACACTGAGAGACAGAGCCTCTGGGGACAGGACTGAGAGCAGCCATAACTGCTCCCTCGGCCCACCCTGTTGATCCCCTGGGACCCGCCCTGCCGAAGCCTTGCACAGAGGCATTTGCTGGATAGCCTCAGGCAGAGGGTAGATTAGCACCTCCCTAGAGGACAGAAGTTCTCTCACTGTAGACACAGCTGATTCTCACAGCCAGTTGGCCTGGAGGTCAAATCCCCCCCAGTGTTACCTACAACAACCAAGGCTTAACTACAAGATGGCGCACAAAGACCACTAGGGGGTGCACCAAGAAAGCATAAAAAATGCGGAGACAAAGAAACAGGACACAAATGACAGAAATGGAGGAAAGCAAACTACTGGATATAGAGTTCAAAACCACACTTTTAAGGTCTCTTAAGAACTGTCTAGGAGCTGCCGATAAATTTAGCAAGGCCCTCGAAAAGACTGGTGAGACCGCCGATAAATATAGTGAGATCCTCAAGAAATTTAATGAGACCCTCGATGTTGTGATAAAGGACCAACTAGAAATTAAGCATACACTGACTGAAATAAAGAATATTATACAGACTCCCAACAGCAGACCAGAGGAGCGCAAGAATCAAGTCAAAGATTTGAAATGCGAAGAAGCAAAAAACACCCAACTGGTAAAGCAAAATGAAAAAAGAATCCAAAAATATGAAGATAGCGTAAGGAGCCTCTGGGACAGCTTCAAGTGTACCAACATCAGAATTATAGGGGTGCCAGAAGATGAGAGAGAGCAAGATATTGAAAACCTATTTGAAGAAATAATGACAGAAAACTTCCCATACCCGGTGAAAGAAATAGACTTACAAGTCCAGGAAGCGCAGAGAACCCCAAACAAAAGGAATCCAAAGAGGACCACACCAAGACACATCATAATTAAAATGCCAAGAGCAAAAGACAAAGAGAGAATCCTAAAAGCAGCAAGAGAAAGAAACTCAGTTACCTACAAGGGAATACCCATACGTCTGTCAGCTGATTTCTCAACAGAAACTTTGCAGGCCAGAAGGGAGTGGCAAGAAATATTCAAAGTGATGAATACCAAGAACCTACAACCAAGATTACTTTATCCAGCAAAGCTATCATTCAGAATTGAAGGTCAGTTAAAGAGCTTCACAGATAAGGAAAAGCTAAGGGAGTTCATCACCACCAAACCAGTATTATATGAAATGCTGAAAGGTATTCTTTAAGAAGAGGAAGAAGAAGAAACAGCAAAAAACACCCAACCGGAAAAGCCAGGACTCTGTTGTTATGAACAACAAATACGCATCTATCAACAAGTGAATCTAAGAATTAAGTGAATCAAGTGAATAAATAATCTGATGAACAGAATGAACTGGTGATTATAATAGAATCAGGGGCATAGAAAGGGAGTGGACTGACTATTCTTGGGGGAGGAAAAGGGTGTGGGGGAAGCGGGAAGAGACTGGACAAAAATCGTGCACCTATGGATGAGGACAGTGGGTGGGGAGTGAGGGCAGAGGGTAGGGTGGGAACTGGGAGGAGGGGAGATATGGCGGGGGGGGGGGGGAGAGGAACAAATGTAATAATCTGAACAATAAAGATTTACAAAAAAAGAATTTTACAAATTCATGAATTAAGTTTTCAAAAGAATAAGAACATTTTTGCCTTAATCCTTGTGACTCACCTGGAGTGCTGGGAGCATTGAGGCACGATTAGAAAAAGAGGCCAAATTATTTATTTCTACTCATTGCATTTATTCCCTTTTGCAAGGAAAGGTATGTTTCTGATAAGAAATTCTTAGAATATGGCAGTGAAAAGTGATAATAATAGTAAAAATATTTTAACTTAAAAATTAAAAAATGAAGACAATGGATTTTGGCACCGGAGTGAAGATAGATGTTGACTGCTAGAGACTTCAGTGAGTTACTGTTTCTAAGCATTCTAGTTGTGCTGAATAATACAGCTCATGCACTGTAATGCCTTTCATTTTCTGGAGCACAAGGCTTACTACCAGCACGTTATGACCTCAGTAAATAATCCATCCTAAAGGGCAACAGGTGTGAAGTTCTTACTTTTTATTTGTATTTCTCATTTCTTCCTTTTGTTCCAAACTTAGCTCTTTAGAAACAAAACCCATACCGTTGTTAGGGTTATCAAAACTGAGGGCCTTTTTTTTCTGACAAGACAGATAGCTGGAAATATAATGTGCTCTTGTTGTTTTGTTTTTTGGCTCAGTGGGGAAATAATGTCCTCATTCAGTAAAAAGCCTCAGCAATAGACTAAACACGCTGGGAACGCAGGACATTTCCTGGGTACGTTTTTCTACTATTTCTCAGGATCAACCAAAATCTAAAACTGGTTGTTTCCTATTTCTTCTTTTTTGTTAAATTGGAACACTGAAGCAGTGTAGGAGCTGAAGATGTGAAAAGATGTCTGAAAGTACAGCTTTTGCAACATGGCCATTGGGAGCAATGTCGGTGACCAAGGATAGTATGTGCATGAACTTCTGAAAGTAGCTATGTGGATGCTTCCTCTAATTGGAGCAGAGAAGAGAAAAGCCTTCCCCTAAAGGTTCATTTCAAGCAAGAATTTCTTTTAGCCACCAACATGAGTGTTTGCTGGGTTTTCCTGCTCAGTGCATCATTCTCCTTCCTGTGAGTGAGGGTACTCTCATTGATTCTAACTTCATTTGAAGTTAGAACTATGGAACTATGAGCAGATGTGGGAGCCAGTCAGGACCTGTGGGGTGGGAGTGCATTGATCTACATTCTCAAAACAAGGATCACAGGGGTATGCCTATGCCTCTCAACAAGTGGGGCTCTAACAAGGAAGGGTGTCAGTGACCTAGGGAAGGCAGAGCACACAGCAGCCACTGTAGTTGGGCTCAGTTCTCCCAAGAGGCTCCTTTGTTCATCCACAGCCATTCTGAATTCCAAGCGAGATAGGGAACCAACTCAGATAACCTTGGCAATGACAGCCCCAACAACTAACAATGGATAGGAGGGAAGAGGTGTTACCTTTAGATGGGGAAACATATGAAGAAAAAAACAACATGGCTAGTGCATTTAAGTATATATAGTCTCATGAGAGAGAGAGAGAAGCACACACTCTCAGGCAGCACTGGTAGATTGAGAAAGGACCTCAAAAGTCATTAACCCAACTACTTCAGACATAAAAAAGCAAAAATGAAGTTAAGAAAAGTGTTATGTGTTGAATTTTGTTCCTCCCAAATTCATGTGTTGAAGTCACAACCCTCAATACCTCAGAATTGGTGTCCATTTAGGAAAGGATATTAGGACACACAGAAACACCTTGGAGATATGTGCACACAGTAGAAAGACAGCATGAGGACACAGCAAGAAAGCAGTCATCTGCAAGCCAAGGAGAGAGGCTGCAGACAAAACCAACTCAACCTACATCTTGATCTTGGCCTTCTAGCCTCCAAATGAGAAAATACATTGCTGTTGTGTAAACAACCTAGCCTATGGTATTTTGTTATGGTAGTCAAACTAATACAAAAAGTAAAGGAATTTGCCCAAATTGACTTAAGAATTTGGGGTCAATCTTTAAGGACTGAGATCTTCTCATTTAACCACAGAGCTGTCTTACACACATATACACATGTATATATGTAATAGGGGACTCACTCATACTTTAAGAGGGTCTTTTCTGTAGAGACCTATGAAGGCAAAGAAGCCTATAATGGGAAAATATGTACAATTTAAACACTACTTAAGGTGGTCATAAGAAGCCTAGCTCTGGAGACAAATTAGAAGCAGAATGAGTAGTGAACACTAAATCTGGTATCCTGGGACTCAGACACTACCTAAAGGGTGATGTGTGAGTACTCAGCAAAGGGGAAGCCCATGACACTGGGGGGCTAAGTTAAGCTGCAAGCTCTCTGTTCCCCTTCCATCTGGCTCCAGCCTGCTCTAAGTGGCAGGTGCCTTGGCTGCCACCACCAAACATGCCAAGCTGAAGGGGAAATATCTATGCATTCCCATGTTGCCTTAAAGTTTGGATCAATGCTATTTTTGAACAATTTCACACAAAGAATGAATAAATAACTCCTACTGAACTGCAAGCTGCTTCAAGGTCAGCTCCCTAGATGCTCTTCTAATGTAGACCGTTTCTATGGGCTTCTCTCTCTCTCTTCCCCGCCCTCTCCCTCTCTCTGTGCCTTGGGTTACCTAGTGTGTTTTCACTCTGAAACTATTCTTCATAAAATGACTAACCTGATAATATCATTCATAGTACTTTATAGCAACATGGTACTCTGCTATCTGCAGGGTGTTTTTCTCTCCCAAGTGATAGGTGTGTGTGTGTGTGTGTGTGTGTGTGTGTGTGTGTGTGTGTGTG